TTAGTTGTATTAATTTTAATAAATTTGTATCATTAGTTATTTCCACTATTAATTCATGATTTTATAAACTGTTTTATGTTGTGTAAATTATATATCAAACATATATTGATTTCTATATATAATAAAAACATAGTAGTATGAAAAAATAAATACTATAACTTTTGATGATTTTATAGAACGTTTTAAGTTGTGAAAATTCTATATAAAACGTATGCCGATTTGTATACAAAACAAATAATAAATAGTATGAAAAACACTATAGTTTTTAATAAAATAAAAACACTACAACATTATAACATTTACATCAAACAAAAGTTATTAAAGACTTATAAATCATTCAAAATGAATATTTAGAAATCAACATACATTTGATATATAAAAACATTGTTATAAAAAGTTTGTGTTGAAATAACCATTGATACGACATAACTTTTTTTTTCAACTCTTTCAATTTGAATCACAAATCTTTTCAAACATATGATTTTTAATCAAAACTTACTTATATACTACTAATATAGCTACAATGCGTATAATAAATAAGTAGAAATAAAAAAGCATTGCACATTAATAACCATAAGTTTAAAAAACTTTTGAATGTAGTGTAAAATATAAAGGCAAATCACATTAAATTTGAAATCATAATTACATTTAAATAAAAAAACTATTGAGTTGTAGTGAGATTTTTAAACTCTTGATTTGTTCCCAATAATGTAATATAAATATTAACAATTATAGGTTATAAAAACAATATTATAAGTATTTATCATTGAAATAATAATTTTTATACTAAGTTGTAAATAATATTATAATAAATTTAAGTATACGATAAGAAAGATATAAAAAGTTGTGTTTGAATCAAATTGAATTAAGTTTTTGATTTAAAATTATTTTAAATTATAAGTCCAAATAAAATGGTGATTTGAATTTTAAAACTATAGCAATTGTTATGTATTGCGACCAATCTTAAAAAAATGTTAGGAGTAGGTTAGGGTAGAAGGAGTGTTACACTTGAGGTATATTTTTGTCACTTATATTTTCTTATGAAAATATTAATATTCTATTTATTTTACTTTTCCTTAACGATAAAGAACGAATAAGGAAAAAAGAAATTGACAAATGTAATAAGATAATTTATTTTTATTACTATAAAAACATTTAAAATTGGGTATATCCATATAAGTTTTTGTAGAACATAAAAAAATCATTATTATAACACACATAATTATTGGTTTTCAACAATAAAGTCATATCATATTAAAAATCATTTATTCTATTTCGTCATTATCACCAACAATTTGGAATAATAATTGTAAACTCTTTTCATCAAAATCAATTATACAAAACTCCATCGATGTTATTTACAACAAAATAAGCGATATAAACTAACATAATATATACATAACATAAAATACATGTTGAATAATGTTCTCTTGTACATAAAATATATTTTCTTAACATAAAAAAGAGAGACACAACATAAAGATACATACATATTAACAAACTTAATTGCTCTCACTGATAAATAGTTTGATGGTTGATTTACCAAAAGCTCATGAGAAGTAATTGTGAATCCCACTTCATCATCCTGTGATTATAGAAAAATGCATAACACATAAACTTAAAAAATGATCTCAAATATACATTTACAAATATACCTAAATTTGAACCTTGGTTAATATCTAAAACTTTACATGCATCCAATTTGAGTTTACATGAATTTATATTTGGAAAAGTTGCAATTGTTTTCTTACATCCATGGAACCACTCACATAACTCTTCAAACCTTACAAATATGATCTATCATTTTTTGTTGACATACATGCAATAAATAATCTACAAATTTCTTATATAGGCTAAATATTTCATTACACTCATCAATTAAATAGCATGATTTGAAGAGTTTTAAGAGTTACAAATCATAATATTTCAATTAATCATAAATTAATTTGTATAAGTTGAATAGTCTTGGGAGTTTCAAATGCATGAGGTTCAAGAAAAATGGTTTTGGGAGTTTCAAATGCATGAGGTTCAAGGAAAAATGCTAGCTTTATAAGATACTAGACGAATTCCCGCGCGTTGCGCAGCGAAGATTAAAAATATATTGTTAAAATATTGAAAAATATATGTTTAAAATGGTTATGTTATTGACATTAACTTTGAGATAATATTTGTACACTAATATATATATATATATATATATATATATATATATATATGTATATATGTATATATAATCTCAATTATTTTGAACAATAATATTCATTTACATCAACCCACATTCCTCATTAATAGAATCAAATATAATTATCTATTTAGTATTATTTTTAACAATTATTATTATTGATTAATTATATTTTTACTTATGTGATCATTTTCTAATTTCAATAAAGATGTTCATTCAAAATACAATTTATTTATAGCTAAATGTAGTTTATAATTTGATGTTATTATCATTTAAAATTGTTATTCATTAATTTTAAACCACTTATTATTAATAATAAGTTAAAGAAGACTTTTAAGAAACACTTAATATTATTATTAAAATGTGAAACATAAACTAAATAATAAAATGATAAGGTAGACAATTTGCATTTCAAAAGAGACTTGCATGGATAATATGACATATCCATGTAATTTGATTTTATTATTTATAATTATTTGATTATTAATTTTAAAACTACTTGTTATTATTAATAAGTGAAAGAAACTTTTAAAAAACACTTATTATTATAATTAAAATGTTAAACATATACGAAAATATAAAGTGATAAGATAGACAATTTGCATTTTAAAAAAGGCTTAAATGGATAATATGGATAATATGACATATCCATGATTTTTAATTAATTATTGTTTTGAAGCAACATGAACATACAAACATGTATACAATAGTTTATTAAATATTATATATATCACTTTCCATAACATATGATCGATAACATGAATCTAATCTAATTTACATTAAAATTTCAACCACAACATACAATGATATTCTTAAAAGAATACTTAAATCAAGAAAATACAAAAAAGAATTAGTATATAACAAACTTACAAATTAAAAACTTCAACATAATAACATGACTCGAAAAATTGTTCAAAGCCCTCAAACCAACACAAACAACTTTAAACTTGTTTTCTTTGTGAATTTTGTATGTGATTTGTATTTGTGTGTCTACTCAAAAAGATTGACCTTTTTATAGTAGAGTATCCATTAATTGTTTATTAAATATATTATATAAGTTATAAAACCTTTGAATTGTTAATCATTATTAAGAGACTTTTGAGTGATATATTCATTAAAATAGGAGGTTTCAAATGCATGAGGTGTTTGCAAATTTTTATGGGGGTTTCAAATGAATGAGGTTCAAGAAAAAATGCTAGCTTTATAAGTATGTATGATGTATGATGAGATCAAAAAAGTTTTTATATGGTCTTTGTCCAAAAATATGGAACTCGACTTACTTACGACGTATTGAAAATAGTTGTGGAATCAATTTTTTTTTTGTTTAAGTATGAAATTGAGGATGTTTCTTATTTCATGATCTAGACCGAGTGCCAAAGTGTTTGACAAATCTTGATATTTGCAAACTAGTGGTCAAATTTTTGAAAAAATTAGGAATAAAACGGAGCTTGTATCAGGTCAAAGTTTGCACATTTTGAAGGAAATTTTGGGTGAGTTTCTACATGTCGAGGAAAACAACTCGGTTACAATGTAAACGAAGTTAAACAAATACTTAAATGATTCGAAACTTGTTTTCACTACGGACTTTGACGTTCTTATAATGGTAAAATGTCTTGTAGTTCCCAATTGTATATCATATGGTCAAACATAAACTTTTATTAATTTGTAGTTATTTTTTATTTCGAGTTTTTTTTTTATTAAATTTCTGACTTATTTTTTTTATATATATTTGTTGTAAGATATTTTGACAATACAAATTTCGACCATGGCATCTAAGTCAAAGTTTACCACGAGCGCTCATTTATTAGATCCATATCAAACAAGCTTGTCAACATCGATAGTCGAGACTTTGGTTTGCACCCAAGATTGTGTAAGAAAATCGAAGAAGTCTATTGTACGTAGATGACATTGATAATATTTTAAGGAACGATAACACAGTGGTATCTAGTATGTAATAATTGTCAAAAAAGAAAGAGTTTTTCTTTTATACGTAAAAAAAAAAAAGTTAATATTAACATTGTTTGTTTATTGGTTTTCTATAAAGGTTGAAGTAGTAATATGCGATAAAACGTTAAAAAAAGGAAAATTAGCTACGGAAGATTACGAATTGCTCCGTTTTGATACTTGATTTTTATTGTTTACTAATGATTTTTTTTGTTCACGAATGGTTTTTATTATTTACAAAAGGTTTTTGTTGTTTATAAAATTATAAATGATTTTTGTTTAACATTGTGTACATTTAGCTCTAAAATTTATACATTTTTTAGTTTTAACCGGTCTTGGTCCTCATTTACCCAAAACTCGTACTACATCCTCCTATACTTCGGTCCGGTCTTCGGTCCTAGAACCGCTCCTTGGAAAAATCTGGTATCCTTTGGTTCCATCCAGGCTCGAGACCTACCCGGAAGTGAGTTTACTCGTACTAAATTTGTTTGGATTTCTGTATAAGTTTAACAAAAATAGTTGAGAGAAGGAAGTTCAACTAGCCAGGCTTGTAATAACATGTGTTATATCGTTCTTAACTGGAGATATAAATAATAAATTCTTAGAAATTTTATTTTATAAGCTAATTAAAAAGTTATTATATAGAGTCTAGAAAATTACGTCCAATCTTCCAAAACATGATAACATGTGCTATGTGTTTATAGTGTTATCCAATGAGAAATTTTATTTGTAAGTTGATCTAAGAAAATGAATATTAGAAAATTTCATCCACTGTTCCAAAACATGTCATTATCTTCTTGAATTTATGAGGGGCCTAAAGTGTATATCATACAAAAAGTGAAGGGGACATGGATTAAGTAGGTCCAAGCAACACATACATGTCTCAAATTTACACTATACAAATGGCAACACCTCCATGAGCCTTTCGACACCTCTCTCTCAGTCTCCTTTCTCCCTCACCACCTCTAACCACCGGCAACCATCCTTCTTATACCAACAATCACACCCACCCATAACAAAATAGAAATCCATCATTTTGCTCCAAAACACACACACACACACTGTTTCTGTGTATACTCATGGAAGGAGGTAAAGAAACCATACAGGTTGAAATGGACACCGGCGACGGTGGTGGTGGTCAAGATTTCTTGAAAATCAAAGAAGAACCCATGGTGGGTTTTGGTGGAGATTTTTCAGAAGGTAAACTGAAAATCAAAGAGGAGCCCATGTCGGTTTATGATGATCAAGATGATTTTCTTGGTGGTGGGTGTCTGTCGAAATCTCCGGTGTGGGTCGCGAAGCCGATTGAAGGGCTGAGAGACGGCGGACCACCGCCGTTTCTGAAGAAGACATTTGAAATGGTGGATGACCCAAGAACAGATTCGATCATATCATGGAGTGATTCCAAAAAAAGCTTCATTCTTTGGGATCCTCATAAGTTCTCCACCGATCTTTTGCCACGAAGATTCAAACACAATAATTTCTCTAGCTTTGTTCGTCAACTCAACACTTATGTAAGTAATCCTTGTTCCTTCTTCATCTTGTTCCTCTTTTTTGCATTTTTCGACACTTGGTGCCAATAAGTTTGACCTTTGGTCAGCTTAAAAACAACAAAACAAAACATATTGAAGGGTTTAGTGTTTAAACCTCAATTTTCGAAATTTATGAAGTTAACTTTGCAATCTTGACTCTGGATGTTGCTTGAATTGAAGTCAAACTCGACATATTTTGACTTGATTATTGCTCAAATGTTATAGAGGTTCAAGAAAATCGACCCAGACAGATGGGAGTTTGCAAACGAGTTATTCCAAAAGGGTAAGAAGCATTTGTTGAGAGACATCAAAAGGAGGACAAATCAGACACAAATCATACAAAAACAAGCCGAACTCGAACCCCAAACGAATTCAACAATCGAATCCGAGCTCAAAATTTTGAGAAAAGATAGAACAGCACTCAGACAAGAAATCTTGAAGATGAAACAGCAACAAGAGACCACCGAGAAGCATTTACAGATGGTCCAAGAACGTATGCAAAGAATGGAGTTCAAGCAACAACAGTTGTTAGTTTTCATGTCGAAAGCCTTCAGAAATCCGATTTTTGTTCAGCTTTTGCAGCATCCCGTGCAAAAACAAGAACTGGGTAGTGTTGAAATGTGCAAAAAACGAAAGCTTGAGAACATGTTAAGCTCCGAAGAACTCGACCGAGTTCAAGAAGTATGGAATATGATTGAACCTGACATGCACACTGTGTTGTCTTCTGATGAATCAGCGACGTTTCAAGATCAAAAGACTAGTGATCAGAAGTCTGGAATGAATTGTACAGATTCTGAGAACTTCATATTGTGGGAGAAACTAATGGAGGATGAATTGATATTTGGAGATGAATCAGGTAAGGAACAATCGGAAACTTATCTCCAAGAATGGGAAGAATTGATCCCGAAATCTGATCCGTTGGTATAACATTTATGAGCTGATTCTTTTTGACATACTGGCGATCAATCTCACAGCATGTTCGGGAAGCAATGGTAGGGGTAGATGAAGAAACAAATGGGTACATATTTTTTGGGTTCTTTTTTTTTTTTGGTTGTGTTTTAGGATCTTGTAGAAATAATAAAGTGTTATAAAGGAGTTTTGATGTGTAGTTTACTTGTTCTTTGTCGAAATGATGCAGAACGAAAGGAAGTATGCAATTGTAAAGGCACGTTGTAATGGAGGTTTTGTTTGTGGCATGAGCCTTTTTCAAGCTAAAATTTCTTTTCAAACCAAAAAGTTCTTCAAGAATTAAAAAAAGCCTAATCAAAGTTCTTCAAGAATGAAAAAAAAAAAAAAGGGGTGAGCTTTTTCTGGGAAAAAGCTTAAGCTATTGGATATTGGATGGACTTTTTTAAAATAAAATAAAAGTAATCTATCTATACAAATGAAATTAAAATAATCAAACTGAAAAAAGCTTTTTTATTGTTCTTTTATTGTGGGAAATTAAAAGACTTTTTATTATTTTTTATTGTTGGTATGTAATGAGTTTTTTTTATTAAAAATTTCTTTATTATGGATGCTTTAAAGATTAATGGGTGTGGCACCACATATCATTTATTCAAGTATTTATGGTTTGTCACCATGTCATTTTTTTTTCCATATTTTTATTTTATTACTTAAGAAATGATTATTTCTCCAAGTCATTCTCCTTTTTTTTTTACTTAAGAAATGATCATCTCTCCTCGTCCATTAAACATAGGGAAATTGAGTAATTTAACCATTATAAACGTGCTTGTAAACGAAAATAATCACTTCAATTTTATTTTATTTTTTGTAAAAATGACCACATTCTCCAGAATATCGTATTTTGGAGCGCGTAATTTCGTTCTAGGCTTGGGATCCGGAATACGATATTGCAGAGTATTTATGATGTTCTGGAGTTGGTGCTGGTTGGTGAGATTTTGGTCCGGAATCTGACACCCCGTACGTTCCGGACTGATAAAGTGTATTCCGAACTACAGTCTGGAATGGTCGTACATTCCAGAGTGATGTTCCCAAGAGGTATAATTAGGGTATTTGTATGGTTTTATTCCATATATGCAATATATTTGTGTGTTTGATACTTTCCATATACGTTTCGGAATGAGTATGTATAACGGATTTTTTCGAGTGCCAGTTTCTAGTGGAGGGTAATGGCAGCGTATCGACGAATGTATGCAGTATCTTACTCCGGACTACACATGCTTTGTTGTAGATATAAGCAATGATATCAACTTCGTTGGGTTAGTTACGTTGGTTGCTTCCAAGTCCATGTTACTGTAGCACTCGGTTCCTGGTATGTAATTCATTTTGTTGTATCTTGCATTTTGGCCATGGACTCGACGAGTTGAGGGTCCAACTCGTCGAGTCGGAGCGTATTGGACACAGAAGTTTAATGACCTACTCAACGAGTCCGCGTCCGGACTCGGCGAGTAGGCGCTGTCCGGACAAAAACCCTAGATGAGGGTTTGCACCCTATTTAAACCACTTATTCAGCCTCCCTTTCATCCCCAATGCTTCCAGAACTCCCCATAAGCAAACCCTAGCCGTTTTTTAGAAGAGCTAAAGCATTTTTGGTGGATCTTGCTAGTTGTGACCATAAGGAGGAAGGGAAAGGCTTGAGGAACCAAGTGAAGACCAGGGGAAACCGAGTTTGTGCATCTTCCACGGTTCATTGGAGGTATAAAGCTGTAACCTTGCTCTTTCATTTGATAGATACCTTTTTGGGGAGATTTAGGGCTTTTATAAGCCATTTTTGGTAACCAACCATGATTGCAAGCATGGTTGGGGGTTGAGGCTTCAGAATCAAGTCTTTAAGGGAGTCACAAGGCAGTTAGGGGTTGCTTTTGCACCCATCTAAGGTCCCATGCATCATAAGAGCTTATTTTATGTCCTTTTGAGCTCAAAGTCCCATGCATGCACGTAAAGTTTGTAACTTTACGTGCTAGAACGATTGAAGGAGCTTAGATCTATCATTTGGACAAGTGTTGTACATCAGAAATCGAGGATTTAGGGTGTGGACGTATCGACTCGGCGAGTCCGTTCTTGGGACTCGACGAGTCCAAGGCTTTGAAGTCCCATATCTGTTGAGGGTCAAAGAACTCAGTTGGGTGTTAGAAGGGTTGTAGCAGGACAGAAAGAGTGACCCAACGCATTGGACTTAGTTTTAGACCTGGAGTTCATGGGACTCGACGAGTGCTAGAACAGACTCGGCGAGTCCAAGGCAATCTTCTTATGTTTGAAGATGAACTCGACGAGTTGTTCATACAACTCGGCGAGTCAAGGTCATGACTTGTTCATCCGTTGAAGGTGAACTCGACGAGTTGTTCATACGACTCGGCGAGTCGGATGAAGGTTCATTGATGTTCGTAAAGAAGGGGAACTCGTCGAGTCGTTGCCAAACTCTACGAGTCAAGTCGTGGATAAGGACGAGTAAAGGGAAGGGACTCGACGAGTGGACGGCCCAACTCGGCGAGTCGGGTCAACTGGAAGTTGACTTTGACTTGGACTTGGTTGGGGTAAAATAGTCATTTTACCCTAAGAATAGATATCAGTTTCTGACTGAGTGTTTTGTGGGGATTGTAGTCGGAGGATTTCCGGAGCAGCAGCAGACAGAGGTTTCCCGCACAGATTATCAGCAGCTACTCGTACGAGGTGAGTTACCTTCCAGTAGGGGTGGGTCTAAGGCCACAATGCCGACCCACCAAAGAGGGGTATTTAGGAGATGATTGTCTTTGTGATAATTATCTTGGTCTGGTTACATGCCTTGGTCACGAGTTTTATCTGTATGATATGTTACGTGTATAATAAGGATTAGTTTCCCTGACAGCGGTCCTTAGGACCGAAGGGTAGGTCAGTACCCGGATATGCCTGACTGTATGTTTATATCTTGTTGTTGTATGCTAGTGGTAGGGGGTGGAATAGTCCCCAGTTACCGGTTGAAAGATACCGATGACAGTTACCGGTTGAAAGATACCGATGATGATTACCGGTTGAAAGATACCGACGATGATTACCGGTTATAAGATACCGATGATATTGTATGGTATGTGGTATGATGGGGGAACTCACTAAGCTTTGTGCTTACGGTTTCGGTTTTGGTTTCAGGTACCTCTTCGTCTAAGGGGAAGGATCCGGCGGCGTAGCATCTCATCACACACACACATGATTCCGCATCTGGCTTTCTGGGATTGTACTCTGATTTTCCTTATTTTGATGTCATGGTTTGGGACATAACAATATGATTTTGTAATGTGTTGCTTTATTGACAATGTTATGATAAAATGTTTTAAAAATTATTAATTTAAAAATGAAATTTTCGGGCTCGAATTTTGGGATGTTACAAGTTACACACTAATCAAATTCGTCTACTTTTCCAATATTGTTGATCAAATATAGTTATGCAGATTCCTGACGATAGTGATGTTAGATATTTTATTAGTTTTGTTGGTATTATGGCTCCCCAACATAGTACAACTGTTTGTTGTTAATAATGTTATGGAAAGTGGTACTAATTGATTTCTCGGGGGAAATCGTTCTGCAAAATGGTTCTTCCGGTGCTGGAAGTAACCAAATTTGTAATTTATTACCTATGACAACCAACCATGTTCCTTCTTACAATGACCCTATTGATGGGGGTGATTATAGGTGTAAAGGTAAGGTTGTTGTTCATGTTGACCTTCTTGTTGATGTTGATGAATCTGCGAATGATGAGGCAAAACTAATGATGTTGGTTGATGATGGTAATATAATTCCACATGGAGAGCCAGCTGAACATTTTCAGAGTTACACTGAATTTGATGGGGATGATCATGCAGGTGGAGAGGAGGAAACTGATCCCTTACAACCCCCGAAAAGCACAAGAGGAAAAGTTTCCTTTTTATTTTATTGATTCTAAAGAAACACAATCCAAACATTAGGGTATGCCTGAATCTTTACCATTGCCCGAATTAGCTCAACAAAAACGTAAAGGGGCCACAACATACAACTATACTTCCTATATGAAGTTATACCAACTCTTCAAAAGCAAAAAATCACATAAGCTTAATTTAGGATTGAAAAGTGTTAGTGAAGGGTTCCAATATAAAGTGAAAAAAATCTAGAAAAAAACAGGTATGGAGTTGTTTGCTACATGGATAATTGTGACTGGCAGATACGGTCAACAAAACATAATACTACAAATACATTTCAAGTGGTTAAACTATCGGAGAAACACACTTGCTCAACCACACAGCTACATCCCCATCACCGACAAGCCAACAAAAAGTTATTGGGTCACTTCTTGAAGGGCATATTAGCTGATAGTACGGTAATATATTGTGGAGGAAATAAATACAACAAACTTTAAATGATTGTCTTTGTGTACATATTTCATACTGGCAAGCATGGAATGCTAAAATGTATGCTCTAAATCTATTGAAATGCATCAATATCATCACAATAACACTTCCATCAAACTATGATGATGATCAGTTATAGTTTCTATTTATCCTTAAGGTATAACCTCAAGATATTATACCAGTTATAGAAATTATAACCATCAAATGTTACTGTCTTTTGAAACTCAACAAGAGAGAGGTTTTGCAGGGGGTGGGGGTAAGAGTATTAAAAGTTATATACATAATTTAACAAAATTTTATTTAGTATTTTGAATATTTAGTCTTTAAAATTAATACATTTTAGTGTTTCTTAAAACATTAATTTGCCAAAGTCTATGATGCAAGTAACGAAACAAGTAAGTGGTTAGACGACCTTTATCCCATAAACTTAATCAAACTCGATAGGTAGCGATTACCAATTGCATACAATATACAATATGTAACTTCATTTTATACTTAAGACTTGGAGTTTTGGATGAGTTCTAAAATCACAATTTTAAATCTCCTTTTAACAATCAAAATCTTATGAATTCATGAGTTTTGTAGAATAAACTCATTTTATTTTATAAACTCAATTTTATGCATCTTATGATAAAAATCATATTTTGATAAACGAAAACTTTGGTGATGATACTTATGTTTTAAATCTCATTTGGCATGCATAAAACATAATATCAACATGTTGGGTTCTGTTTAAAACACTAATATCGTATATTAAGTTTTGACACAAAAATAATCACTAGTTTTATTATTTGCCGTTATAACGCTATAAATCGATTTTAGTATTTTTTAATAAAAACTCCTTATTTATTATAAAGAGATGAAGTTTATATAATGT